TTACAGTTGACAGCCATGATTTTAAGCTTGAATGAAAATGTATCATATATAAATTAACATTTTTGTAATTCTGCAAGGCCACAGACACCAATTTTTGACGTGTATGAATTTTTCATTGTCAACTAAAATTAAAAAATAAAAACAGGACATTATTAATTGAACTGATGACCCTTGAAACAAAAATCTATTTATATTTATGTTGAACAAAGTGTCAGTGACAGCAATAATTGCTTCATGTATTGATTCATACATCTGACAAAATAAAAAATAAAAGCTTCATTAATTCCTTTAATTTCAGTATATTGTATTTCTTATTAAATTGGTTATATGCTAATCATTTTGATTACTAAAATGTAAAAGCATCTGTGTGCAAATTTAATGAATTGTTAGTTGTTATTATTATGAAAGATTAAACATTATTTATCAATATGGCAATTATGATTTAATAAACATACATGCCACGCTTTTTTCATCTTAAAAAGTGTAATGGCAAAGTAAATAAAAATAAAGAGGATATGTTAATATATATCTGTCTGGATGTTGTATGGAAAATTGGATTGGATAGGTAACCACTCTGAGTGGTTACTAATCAGATTCAGGTGACAGTTGTCCCTTTTTGCAGTCACACGAAATGGTTATGGTGGTCCAATGACAGGTTTTCCTTTCTTTTTATGCTGCCTGCATTTCAGTTTTAATTTAGATGTGATAACCTGTACATGCTGAATAGTTTGTTGTGTGGCAGGTAGCCTTGCTTAGTCCTGGAGCCTGGGATGGAACAAGAGGTATTCATATGTCTCATTCCATATTATATATCCCAAAAATAAGATTATTCCTCATCTCAGGATTGTGGGTGGATCTATGTAAATAGATTCCTTTTGCTCTATTAGCTAACTGTACTTTACATTCAGATCCAGTGGTATATAGCACAGATAAACCAGTAGATGTACTGTTAGCCAATTGTGTTAGCTCATTTTATTTCCTTCTCACCATACCCTTCTGGGTGATACTTCCTCATTGGTCCCCAAGCCCTACACCATAGAAGTCAATGTTTAAATATACTGCAATGATGATGGCTAGCAAGCCTAAAACATCTTTATGCAGTTTGAAATAAATGGCTCTGTAATATTAGTATTTACTAGCACTATGGCACAGCAGTTCTAGATGTACAGTTAGGCAATGGAGTGAAAAGAAATTATTTACATGGCTCCACCCACTATTCCAGAATGAGGAAAATTCTGTTTATTTTTGGGAAATGTGATAGAATGAGACACATGAATACCTTCTGTTCAAAAAAGGTCTACTGTGCAATCTTTAAATAAGAACTCCAGGATATTTTGAATTAACCCTTGCAGTGGCAATATCCCTGTCCTCCAAGGGGAAAGTGCTTGTTTGTGTCTAGTTGCTAAAATAACAAAGATTCACTCACCCAAGGTTTGGAGCCAACTAGCGATCACGACACTCCCTGCAGCCTGTCCCCTCCTCTTCCACAGATTAAAATGTTCCTCAGTGTCCTTACATCAATGCCCAGTGTATAGATATGATGATTTACTGGATCTTAGACTGCTGCAAAGGAGGGGGAGAGACATTGCAGGAACTGATCTAAGAAGAAGCAAGCTCAGCAGTTTGGGTAAGTATATCTTTGTTTTTTTAACCTAGACACAAACGACAGTAAACCCTTGCAGTGTGGGGGTAGCACCACGGTAAGGGATAATACAAAAATCCTGCAGTTCTGCTTTAAACCCTTGTCTTAAGTACCTGTTTTTTAAAATCTTATACATTTTTAAACTAATTGTTAATATTTGTTTAAGTATATGAAATATTTATTTTACAATAAACATTTACTATGGGGTGCCTTCTACACCCCCCTAAAGTTACCTTGTCATATGTTTGCACTGAGGTAAAAAATGGCAACAATAAGCAGACCTCTCATTTTAAAGCTAAGAAAATGTAGATAAAGGGTAATTGCTGTTGTAAAATATATAATGTATTATGTATGTGTAAATTGGCTTCTACAGTTTTATCTAATCCTAGGTAGACTACAGATTTTAAAAAGCTCTCCAGGCTGCCACGTTAGACCTAGATAATATTATTAATAAGAATAATAATATTCTGTAAATATAAAAATAATAAACATTGTGCTATTTCTCATAGCACTTCACAAAGAAAATTATACGAAAGTGATTAACACCAGCTATGAATGATAAAAAATTGTGTATAAACAATTTGATAGTGAAACATAAACAATAAAACATCAAGAGCAAGATCTGTATACTACAGCAAAAAGTGCCTTGCCTGTATAACTTTACAATCTAGAGACAATTTTAGACATAAATATCAATAAAATGAATATCTAGGACAGAAAGTAAAGAAGCAAACATGACCTATTTTTAATAATGATTACAGATTATGCATAAGCACCCGACAACTCCACACAGCTAAATTAGTAGGACTGGAAGAGCTGAATAATCAGGGGCTTACTTTTTTAGTCTCAATGCCATGTAAATTATGCAAATTTTTGAGACTAACTGTTAGCTTTTTAGATCCTATTAATTCTAATGCCTTATGACAGTTACACTGTTAATGTGCTTTTTTACTTTCATTTCCATTACATTTATATCAGGCGTTTTCATTAGGTGTCTAAAATACTTAAAAGAAAGACACTTGAATTCAATAGGTCAATGGAATATGGAAAGTTAGAATCTAGTAAAAGTTTAACTTTTACTCATTGTAAAAGAAGAATACAGGAAATAAAATTTTAGTTTCCCCCCTAGATTCAGTCTGATATGGAGTTTCCATGGTCAAAATAATAATATAGAATGTTCAAACTTTTAAGAGGAAGGAGTACTAGATAATGGTACTGTATTTAAAATAAAATGCTTACTTAAAAGTAAAAAAAAAGAAAGAAAGATTTGGATGTTGGACTTCTAGAAAATGGCTGCTGCATTGGGTGGGTTCTGTGTTAATGTAGACCATCTACATTAACACAGAACCTATGGGAGTCTCAGTGTTTGGTTTCTCTCTTTCTCTCGCCTAGAAGTGTGCACCTCCTCCCTCTTCCCCCAGGAACACACATAATGCACAAAGCAGTGAGACCAGAGCCCCCTCCCCCCAATGCACACGTACTGTAGGTGCTAACAGACTCACTCTGCAGCATGTCACAACGCATGTGCCCTGTGTTGTGGTGCTCTGAGGTAAAAAAAAAGTACACGTCTGTTTTTTTTCCTGTTTCTATGCATTGCCAGCCTATTCTTGATTAAATGGCTGCTTTAATGCAACACACCTTGACCTCTATGCAGCAGTGTACCACAATGGAGCAATATAGTGTGAAGGGGACCTTAAAATTTGGATCTGCACTGCTGACCAAATGATGTGTGAACTATGAGGACTTTGGATGTTGCTTCGTAAAATGGCAAGTGGAATGCGCTTTCCATATGTTTTAAGAAACTTCCAGTTTATTAAATCTGAGCTACTATATTAAATTATTAAAATCTATCAAATATGTTTTAAAGCAGTTCAAAGCTTATTAAAATGAAAGGTTTTATTGTTAAAAGAATCATCATGCAATACACTGAGTGGCCAGATTATTATGACCACCCCATTAGTACTTCGTTGGTCCACGAGATGACTCCACGAGATGACTTCGTTGGGCCGCCTCGTGACTCCATGAGATGTTGAAAGGTGATGCGAGGAATCTGACACTGCACTGTTGCCCTTCTGTTGTCTTGTACCAGTCTTGCCACTCTCTGTTCTGCCCTAACATTGACTAGTCGCTGACGGCTACAATTCGCACGTTCAGACCCAGAGTTTCGGCTGACAGTCCAGTCTTTAAACACTTCAACAACAGCTGCTCTTGAACATTTAACGAATTCTGCTGTTTTGCTGATATTGCTCCATGGCTTGAGCGCCAACAATCATCCCACATTCAAAGGCTGTTAAATCGCGTTGTTTTCCCATATCTTCAGAAAAAAATCACTTCTACTGTCGTGGTAAACAACCTGCTTCCCTATTTATAATGTTCTGGCCCTCTAGCAACTTCAGCGTGAAATTATAGCTAATTATAGCTCATTTGCACTGTAATTTCTGGCATTGCAGCTCACACCACCAACCTCCCCACCCAACCTCTGCTGCTGGCTTGAAAGACGGCATCTGGAGGTACAAATGACAGCTGCTCTTCTCCTTCACATCACCCTACACACCTATCTACCATTGCAGCTGACCCATAACTTTTTCCCCCTGCACCATGCCTGAACACCAACCCCCACTCTCACCAATGCATCTGACCCCCACCCTCTTCCTCCTGATCTCATCACCTTTTTCACATGCCCCCTTTCAGTCACCACAGGACCAATGCTCATTCTTGTGGTTACTGTAACAATGTGTACTTCTTTGTTCTCCACCACTGCAGTGATGTGTCCTTCTGCCCTGTCATAAAAAAGTTCTAACCGTTCCTAATTTAACTCAAAATTATAAAATACAGTTTTTCTCTGAAGTTCAAGGCTTTAACTAGAACATCTACAGTACATTTGCATTTCTATGCCTTGAAGGCACTTACCCTGTAAACATTATTTTGTTCTAGCAAAAACTTCCAACTCAAGTAGGTCACCTCCACCACTACTTTAAAACCATCAATTTATAACATTTTTATCCCAAATAAAAACATAAAGCTTGCCACATGAAAAAAACAGTTACACTGTTTAACACAAGCATGACTGGAAGCAACAACATTTAATTGTTAATTCAAAGGGTTCAAACAATATTTATGTAGACTGCATAGATAGTCCTACTGAAATAATAAAAAATACATTTATTTATATTACTTCACAACTTAAGGTACAATAAGAATGTTTCTTATGTAGATATGCTATTATAGTAAACATTGTATTTAAACTTGAAAAATAAATAAAATACAGGATAAATGAATAATGTACTGCAATCAATAACAGAGAAACTATTTCACAGATGGTACCTAATGCATGATGTGAAACTTGAACAATATGTACCTGAGAGTAGCCGATTATGCCTCCATTTTCATCCAGCACATTAAAATTAATGATCGGACCCTGCACATCATAAGTCCTAACCCCTGTACTGGTATAGACTTGTATTACAGGTTCTCCATTAGCATAACGTAGAGCAGACAGCACAGAGTAGGTGTAGCTTGCCAATTCATGAGTATGATTTCTAATTTTCTCCATTCCTCCTACAAAATAAATACATATTCACTTAATTTCTATTTTCATATTGAGAACATTACATTTATTAATGTTTTATCACATAAGGTAAATTTAGTTCCTGAAGCAAGCATTCTGCTTAGCAGCACATAAAAAGAAAAGGCAGGGCTTAAAAAAATGGAGAAAAAAAACCCATACGCTCATATATTTTATATACACATAAACATTCAAAATATTGAACATATCAGACATGTCTGTGATGCAATTTGAAAAATGTATTGCACAACTAGAAATCAGCAATATCATATCTGTGATCTGGTAAGTGATTTAATGGAACGATGCTGGTATAGAAAATGTGAGGGAGAATGGATTTATTTCTTTATCAGTGCAGGATAGATAAATTGGCGCTTTTATTTTTCTACTGCAAAGGTAAAATAATATTGTATTAATGTATTCCAAGATCTAGATGGAGGCTTGCTTAACTGCAAATACTCTATTTTACCAAAATGTTGTATTGACTTTTGTAAAGAGGGTCCCTTTGTCCTGCTTCAAGACAAACAGGCAACACACAAAAACTACTATTGCAGGGGTGCCTGAAATTCATTTTGTTTCTCATTGCAAAAATCTGAAAAGGTAGCCAGCCAGTCACAGAAGCAGGAAATAGATTTTCTGTGTAAATTCTGCAAAACAGCAGAACACCCTCATGATGCTGTTTTGCAAAGAAGTGATGTTTAAGCATTTAGACAATTTTAGAAAAACAGCCAAACACTGTTGGGAAACAAACATTTAGCTACAGCTTGGTAATAGACAGCTTGGTCATGAAGAATAAGAACACCTATGTTTACACATATTTCTTTCAAAATAAGGTCCAGACCCTTCTGCTCCTGCATCTTGGTATTATAATGATACAACATGAACCTTAAGCCCCTTTCACATGGTCCAATCAGGAGGGGATCTAATGCACCTTTCCTGGAAATTAAATTTTGACCATTTTCAAGGCAAATAGGCAAGGGATTGTCAAACAAAGGGCATAGGGAGCTGCCATGGAGGATATGTAAAAGAGAGTCCTCCTTTTTATGCACGTTAGGAAAAACACCAATCCTTTGTAATACATGCTTGGAAGATGCCATTAGGCTTTGTTAGAGAACAGTTCAATTCTCACAGACAGCACTAGCAGCATTGTATTCTGGAATCACATATTTAGTATATGTAACAGATTATTTTACTTTTACATTATTGCTTGACTTAAATAAAGCAGCAGCACCCCAATCTGATTAATTTCAACTTGATAAAAAGGCTTCTTTAGGTAGTTTTGGCTTTGACACCTGATTTGTTTATAGCACTAATAGGCCAGGGATTGAGCAGTGGAAGTAGCAGCCACAACAGATCTAAAAGCTATGGGAAGGTTTACGCTTTCAAAAGAGACTAAAGCTGAAGCCCCTAACTTCATACCAATTGCCAATCAGTGGCAAAATAGTTTCATAATATAGCTATTGTTCTTTTTTCGCAGTATCACACTGAATTGTCCTAAAAGTTTAATAAAATGCATAAATGCAGCTCAATTGCATACTGGCCAAGCTATGGTCAGTGGTCCAGCCTGAACACACAAAAGTCCATGGGGTCTTCAGTTTGAAGCTAGTCCACATATGCCCTGGACCCCAGCACTGCCTGTGACTGCTGCCAGTGGCTAGGCCTGTCTAATGCACTCTTTAAGACTTTAAGGCTCTAATGCTTTAAAAGTTTACCACTGCTTCTCTTTTCAGAAACCTGAGAATCTGAGGCACATTGCCCATGAAAAGAGAAGTAAGGAGGAGAAGAGTGTAGGCCTTTTGCTGCCAACCAGTATCATTCATGTGCTGCTCCCTCCCAGCATTGTGATACATAATCATGTGTCTCCTCATGCATGTGGTACTCGAATGACTGGTACATTTACCATGCTTGATATTATTATTATTATTATTACATAGTATGTATATTGGGGGATAGTCTGTGTAGTGGAAGGCCAATGAGGAGGGAGTTACAATAGTCAAGACGAGAGATAACAAGGGAGTGGATGAGTAGTTTTGCGGTTTCTTTGGTGAGGAAGGGGCATTTTTTTGAGATGTTATGAAGGTGAAGGTGGCAGGATTTGGATAGCGATTGGATGTGGGGAAGAAAGGTGAGGTCCGAGTCAAGGATGACACCTAGGACATTGGCATGAGGGGAGGTTTGGATAGTTGTGTTATCAATCTCAACTGAAGTGTTGGGGGAAGGTGCACGGGGTGGAGGAAATATCATGAGCTCAGTTTTTGAAAGGTTGAGTTGTAAGAAATGTTGTGACATCCAGATGGATATGTCAGTTAGTAGATTAGTGACACGCAAGGACACTGAGGGGGAGAGTTGTGGAGTGGAAATATACATTTGAGTGTCATCGGCATAGAGATGGTATTGCAAGCCATGTTAGGTGATTAGTTGACCAAGGGAGGAGGTGTAGATGGAGAAGAGGAGGGGTCCAAGGACAGAGCCTTGGGGGACCCCTGCAGAAAGAGGAAGAGGAGGGGAGGAGTTAGAATTGTAAGTGACACTGAAGGAGTGCATAGATAAGTAGGAGGAGAACCATGAGAGAGCAGAGTCTTGTAGGCCAAGCGTGTGGAGTTTTTTGAGGAGCAGCGGGTGGTCAACCGTGTCAAAAGCAGCCGTTGTTTTTAGCGGTTATTAGGTCATTGGTGAGTTTTAGGAGGGCGGTTTCAGTGGAGTGTTTGGGGCGAAAGCTGCACTGAAAGGGGTCCAAAAGGTTGTTATTAGCGAGGTGGCAACTCAGGCGGTTGTAGATAAGGCATTCTAGTAGTTTAGAGGTGAATGGGAGTAAGGAGATAGGTCTGAAATTATTGTGATATACTACACTGCAGTTGGCAGCAGATGTGTTGAAAAAGGTCCAGATTTCTGAGCTCTGCAGAGTTGGCCTCTGGGGATAGCACTGTCCCTGGACCAAATCCTACCACACTGCTGTTGTGCTCCACCTTACTTCTCCTTGCCAGTTTGAAGGCCAACAGTGGAATTAGCTGTAAAAGAGCAAGAACTTCGTGCATTTGCAGTTCCTGCAATACGCTGCACCTAGGAGGAGGAAAATGAGGAATGCTTAGTTGTCCACCCAAAGAGAAGGCAGGCATATCCTTCTTCTCATAGGTGCAAACTGACCACAGCTTTGTCCTGGAGGTGCAGAACTTGTTCACCCCCTACTAGCTACGTGTGAAGGACCTCGGCCTCATCCTTTAACCATTCCAGACATTATGAATACACAAAATTACCTAACTTTATTAGCAATATAACAATAGAGCAATTGAGGACGTGGTGCTTTGGTGCACTTAAAAGAGAACTATGGGGTTAAGGCTTTTCCCCATAGTTCTCCTTAGGGTAACGGGAGGACACAAACTAGCGTCCTCCCGTCACCCTAGGCTCAGTATACCGCGAGCTGTAGCTTGCGGTATACTGAGACGCTGCAGTATACCGCGAGCTGCTGCTCACGGTATACTGAGACGCCGCAGCTGAAGCGGATCCCGACAATTGTTCCGGGATCCACCCAGCTGCGTGACTGACAGCTGGCTCTACCTATCTAGAGGCAGAGCCAGCTGTACCCGCAGAGAGCCGTGACAGGATCGAGAGGTGAGCGAACGCCGGTATGTGTTCGCTCACCTTCCGATCTACTGAGCCGACCTGTGACAGTCTCATTGTCACAGGTCGGCTAGAACTATGAGGTGAGTGAAAAGCACTCACCTCATAGTTCTCCTTTAACAATCTGATGATTTGGTGCACTAGGCTGTGCCACAGTAGTATGCGGGGATGTGCTGCAAAGGTTCAAGTTTACGTTGTTCACTTCAAAAAAACAGACCATAGCAAAATTATATTGAAATAAAGTATACCTTACTTAAAAAAAATAACAAAAACACTAAACTGTTACACTAAAATCACAAACATGATCTAAAGCCACAAAAACCACAGTGGAATTAATTGTAATGTAGTACAGCACAAAACTATACATAGCACTGTATAACTCTGTATAAAGCACCACAGACAGATACTGGTTTAACATTTGTCAGCATGTTGCTGAGCTGCCATGTGTTTCAAAGGCCTGCCTTTGTGAACCTTTTCAGTTCCTGAGCCTTCCTGTGCATCTGCCCCTGCCTGGACTATGCAGTCCATAAATGCTACTCTAGGTACACTCTCACAAGATGGTCCTCCTGATCCCCGGGCACTATTCTGTATTGATGCTGGAACTTTACAGACACCATCAGGTGGGATATCTATCTGCCACTGCTCACAGAAGACCTTGTAACCTCTGGATGAATCCTAGAGTTCCACAGAACTATGGTTGAGAATAGCTACTCTAACGTGATTGAAAAGGAATGATTACACTGTGAACAGGTCAACAAACTAACAATTTTGTCAGCTGCGGGCCATATGGATAGAAAACAAAAATAACGAGCAAGGGTTCCTAAATGCATTTAAATGGTGCCGTTTTAAAATTTGGCGGGAGTATACATTCAATAAGGCAAGAAAACAATGTACAAGGTGTAGAAACCCATAGCAACCAGTAAGAAATTGCTTCCACTAATTTGGCTTTACCAAACCTAAAATATGTTTTTGTTTTTTTTTAACGTATATATTTACTAATGCTTGTATTATCTTAAATAAGCCTTGATATATTGTTGACAACATTAATTTGCACTGTTTTTACTGAGTGTCTTGTTTTGTCTGTGGAATGTGTTCATCATTCTTGTTGTACAATTAAGTGAGCAGCATAAATAAATCATGAGAGAACATGCTGCCTCAGTATGTCACCAATGATATTCATCTCTTAAGTTGTACTGTTTTGACTGCCTTTAGTACAACAAAACCAGAGGCATATCATATGCTCTGTCACAATAATCCTTATTCAAATGCCATATTGAGCTTCACACGTTTTCATTTCTAAAGAACATCATTCTTCCCTTAATTCATTTTGATTTGTTAACTTTTATATGCAGAATATCCATGACACAGTTGCTTATTG